CCGAAACGGTGCGCTGACAGCGCTCGCCTTGTGGCTTAACGTCTTTGTAACGCTGTTTTCTTGAATTTCATCTCGGATTTGCTGGGCAAGCAGAGGGAGAGGGGGGAAAGGGGGTTTAAATTCCACTTGCGGTGGGCAGCGTGATGCTGGGTGGGCAGGCGGGTGGTTGTGCCTCGGGGCTCCCCATCTCCTGCTGGAAAACCTCTCCCGGGGCGACCGCGCGGAGCAGCGGGCTGGGAGCCTCTGCGCCCGGGGACTCTCCCTCCGCCCTGGCCCCAGCAGACTTGCGGAGCTTGCTCCCGCAGGGAACGGGAGCGGGAAAGCTGGCGGTGCCAAGGCGTGCCGGGCTGGAGGGAAGCTAAGCTGAGCTCTGCGGCCGGGAGCATCCTGCCTGCAGCGCCTGCCTGCGTGGGCATGAACCCTGCCCACCGCTGCTGCCAGGGGAACTCCTCCCAGATCCAGCACTGGAGCTGGGATTTTTTTTTTTTCCTTACAACTAAACGTGGTCTGGTCCAAATAAAAATGTTTAGGTTTTGTAAAGAGAACTCAGGGTGGAAAGGGGAGATGGGGAGCGTGGTCCCACGCGGAGGGCTGGATCTGAAAACAAGCCCCCAGCCCCTGCCTGGCTCCCATCCGGGTGACCGCTGTTGCCGTGTGGGAAGGAATGGAAGTGGTTTTCAGCATGTGGAAGTGTTAGCCAGCAGAGCACTTCTTGAGGGGAAAGCATTTAACTGGCTTTTAACTGTGTTGTGGTACTAAAACCATTACATATTACGCTGTCATTAGTGGACAGCTTTTGCTCTTCAAATTAAACAAATAGTTTAAAGCTGCTGAAAATTGCAACCAGATTTTTTTTTTTTAAAGAATTGGGGAAACAAATGTGAAATTGCAGCTGCAGACCTGAGAGGCAGATGGGTTATTTCTTCTTAAAACTCGGTTGCCATCACCCCCTTGGAAAGGCGGACTGGAGGTGGCATGCAGTCTGTACTGGGAATGCAGCTGGGGCCTGTGGTGCTAATTGGAGCAGAGCGCTGGGCTTTAATGAGGGACTGAGACCCCCATGCATCCCGGCTGTTTAATCGTAGCGCTGCTGCTCGCAGCCTTCTCTTCCCTTTGGTAGGAGCTGGCCCGGCAGGAAAGTTTGTTTAACCACTGTTTGCCTTCCGGC